TGCTCGACTCAACAATACTCACTTCAATTACACATTACCCGCCTTGTCCCCGTCGCTCTTGGCCGGTCTTATATATACAAGACTACACTACATCTAGAAGGATCCCGAGATTTAAGGAAAGGACGTGAATGTTCGAGAACGACGTGGCGTCATACTAGTCACGTGACCTGCGTGTCGTAACAATAAAATACAGAAATTTCGAAAAAGCTACATATTAAGTAAGGGAAAAGCTAACGCATGGTCTTTAGTGCATTCGTTTATTAAAGAGAATTAACGCAGAAATGTAATCTAGGATTCCTAATATTTACTTCAAAACTACAATTTTAAACCTGGCCATATGATATCTACATTAATGCTGCAGCCTTTGCAAAGAGGCATTACATTGGACAGTCGTACTAATATCTGCGTTAATAACTTTCTTCAGAAGTTCATGAATTATTGAAAGCTAATATTTTAATAGTTATTAACCAACACTAAATACTCCACTAGAGCAAAACAAAACTTTGATATTAAAGGAGCAATGGTTCGTCTTAACATAATTTAAAATTAACTTTTTCGCCAACTAACACGACAGTCTTACCAGACCAGCTCCTGGCATTACCGAATACCCAAAATAATGATAGATAGATAGGCATATAGATATTATACACTGTTGGCAAAAGGCAGATAATCAAATTCTGGGAAAATTGGTTAGTTTTTTAACGAGGATACCCTATCTTTAAGATTGTTTTTTCAGATATTTTGATATTTTAATAAAGAGACGTTTTAAAAGTCCAAATAATTGTTGTGCACCAAAATTGTTTTGGGAGGTTTAGAGACTTGTGATATTGTTAAATGCGGTCTATTCTTTTTATTAGCACCCCTCTCAAAATTTACCATTTATAAAAGTGAGAGAAATCATCCTTTCTTTTCATGACTGAATAGGAAAGTATATATATTTATATAAAGAAAATTATATAATAAAATAAGTTATAAATAATAGAGAAGTAGCAAGTATATGAATGCGATATTTATGTTTTAAGGACGACGTGAAAGTGACATTATTTATGGAAAAGTACAAACGAAGAATATACTTTTCACAAAACTACGTTCTACAATAAAATGTGGAATAAATACATTAAAGCATACAAATTGTGTGAAAGGTTGAAACACCTGTCTTTAAGAATATAACGACAATTTCTACAACTGTTATGTATGCTTATTAGATGTTACTGTAACTTTCATTGAAGAATTATTTTAAATAAGCATAAAATTGTAAAATTTTGAAATATGCCCTGTCATTGTTTATGTTAATTACCTTTTAACAGAATTATCGTAAGCGTGCTTTACTTATTGAGTGAAATTTTGTAATTTGGATCTGAAAAAATTCGCATCTAGATATTTAACATCTGATATTTGAATCAGTGCCATTTTGAAAAATATTTATCAACACATTCATTGGAAAACAAAATAGAAAAATAAGACTCCTTCTATTTTCTTATAGAAGACCATATTAAATATTTCAATGTATAAATGTTAACACTTGAACAACTGAAAAATTGTAATATTTTATGCATCATTTAAATATCTTCCGCCTAGTTTCTCAGCGATAAGTCTGAAGACTTATAACACTCAAATTTGGGTTTCCATACTTGCGGTGGATACAGCACAGATAGCTCATTGGGTAGCTTTGTGTTTAATAACAAACAAACAAAAGTATTATTTAAAAATATGCCAGATCGGTAAGAACATAATTGTTCTTGCTGAATTTCTAATTCTCGTTTAGAGCAAACTCTCACACTTTTGGTAGATGTTAGATGAAAACACAGTATCATGAATTCTAGTTTCAACCTATTTAGTGTTAATAAAGAAACGTTCAAGTTTAACTGAACGTCACCAAGCCTTTACTGAAATACACTTGAACCAAAATTAAACTTGTGGCCGGTTCATTCTTTTGTTAGGAACTAAGTTAAATAGGTCAATTGTGTAAAAAGTATATGTAAATGGATATACAGGTCGCGGTACTATATGAGTAGTCATCATTTGCAAACTCAAATATTAATACTCTGTTACGTCTCCGTTTGTTAATTAACTTTCCATAACTTCGTTCCGACGAAACTTTAGCGACACAAGTCCTTACTTAA